CCCCTGTAGCCAAGGCCGAGCGAAGTCTAAATGAAGTGAAAGGCCTCTCCTCTCCCCAACACCCGGCCGTTTATTACCCCCTTTAATAAAAGTCCATCACACAATTATCCTACAATGAACTACAGCCACTAAGTTGCCAAGAAATATACTTCCAGTAAGTGGCCTCTGCACACAGATATGCCTGTATTTCTAGAAGAATACAGCTGTGAGGCTTGAATCCAGTTACATGCTTTTAACAGCTTGCACATGATGGTGCAACAAACTGCGTTGCGGTAATGTATTTTTTGTAGTTTATCTTTTCGTAAAGCAGAGCTCCTTATTGATGTAATTAAATCGTATCCCTGGCTCTGCGCTCAGGCCTACTTTCATTGTTTTGAGGGGGCAGGAGCCCCGTGAGGCAGCGCACTGATGAGAGATGGATAAACAGTTTGATTTGCTGCTATCGCCCTCAGGCACAGTGTACTGGAGAGATGAGCAAGAGAAGGAAGAGAAGAAATAAAAACAGGGAGGGGCGGGAGAGGGCAAAACAGAAGGAGAGGAGAGAGAGTGAGAGGATAAGAGAAGCTGTTTGGGGGAGGGATGAAGGGATAGAGGTGGAGGATAAACATGCAGACCAAAAGATGTGACAAATCATTCTTGTTGTTAGTGTGCACACAGACGAGGCTGTCATTTCTTCCCTTTTCCTTCATGGGCCCCATCTTCCTGCTCATCTCCCTTTCCCCTTTTTCCCTCCTTTCTCCCTTGTCTCCCTCCTGCTCCATCACACCACCGATACCGCTCTGATTCCTACCTGCCTCTCAGTAGCTCCGAGCAAAGAGGGAACTGAAGAACGAGAGAGGAGTTCACGCACACATACGCACACATACACACACATACACATCTGTACATACAAACAAGAAAACTCATGAATGTAGAAATGCAGTATAGTGCAGCCCATGGCGCACACGCACACACACACACACACTTCCTAAATTATGACTGTGTTACCAAAGAGAAATAGATTGAATGTTGTCAGTTTGGTTAGCATGCTCCCACACACACAAACACACACCCTAGCTGAGGGAGGTAGAGGAGGGTTCAGTCATCCATGTGGAGTCATTGTTAGTAAAGATGCGGAACCTCCAGATTTAACCAGCCGTAACAGCCGTGTGACAAGTTCTTTGTCTACACCAATTACTGAACAAAAACAGCAGCGGAGTCACAGAGAGATTAGCACAACCCATGGCCTCCTGCATCCACACACACACACACAAATGTGTATGTGTTATATTTTTATGTAGCATACTTGTTTGCAGTGCAACATAAGGTCAGACAACAAACCAGGAGCGTGCACACAACACACATGCGTACGCAGTCATCTCAAGTGGTGCAGTAAAGCACATTCGGACACCCACAGCTGTGCCTTAACACAAACATTCTGTAAGCACTCTCAGACATTTACACCCACTCTTATATATTAACTTCCCCAAAACAGTGCAGTGCTCTCATTCTCTTCCTCCCCCTTCTCTCTTGTCTACTCACTCTTATTCTGCGCCCCCCCCCTTTCTCCCAAAGTTTAAACTCATTAAGTGTAATGATATTGGAGACTCAATTTTACATAGCTCACTCATCAACCAAGTGAGATAGCAATAAAGGCGAATGGCTCCGCTGAGGCCCTAACGCTACAAAATAAATGATGCGCCGCAATGGAAATGTAATTAATTTAGAGGCAGTATTGATAGTCCTGCCATACATGGCATTATATTTTTTAATGTGGCTTAACATCTTGATTATTCAAGGGGAAAGGCGGAGGTAAAGGGAGCCGAGACAACGCTGCTCATGATGGGAGATGCTTAAAATGCCCTGACGAGTGTTTACTCCCGCCGCCTCACTTTCTCTTAAGCTTTTCATTATGCTGAGGCGATAAATACCTCTCACGAAGACACACTGACTTTTACAGGGGTATGAAGGAAAAGCAGAGCAGGGTACCGCCTGGCAGGGGAAGGTGAAGGCAGCATGATTCATATTTTTGTTGATTTGTGTGCAAACTGTTGATCCAGCTATGTGGCCTCTGGTCATGTTCTGCATTCTTTGTGATGGGTATCAATTTGTTTCAACACAGAGTATCTTTCACAGAAATAGAGTTTGTAACCTATGTGTACAAATATTTACTTTTAATTAATGTGATCATTTAAATAAAAAAAAAAAGTCATAGGTCCATTCATATATTTGTTTATATAATCATACAAGTAAAAATTTAGGATAATTAACTTCTCAATCTTAAAAATTCTGTATCTGCTGTTTTTCCTTTCAGCTAAGACAGATGAGGTGCTGAAGGCCAAAGTAGCCAAGAGAGAGGAGGAGGCTCAGAAGAAACTGGAGGAAGGTGAGTTAAAGTGTGTGTGTGTGTGTGTGTGTGTGTGTGTGTGTGTGTGTGTGTGTGTGTGTGTGTGTGTGTGTGTGTGTGTGTGTGTGTGTGTGTGTTTGTGCAGTCGGCATACAGACATACCAAACAAGTTGTAAACTGACAACACAATCACAAATAAAAATAAAAAGCAAAACATAAAATGTAACAGAAATTGCATTGTTAAAGTTGTTGGTTGTAGCTCTGTTTTACAATTTGTTCTCCGTTAAATAGCTATTGATTTTCCCTTTGGGGGCAGTACGATCACAAAATACAAAACATTTTCTAGGCTGTAAAACATCTGATGCACAATGGCTTTTCTTTTCACCTGACTGTCTTAAAATAGTTGGAGCCTGTTTATGTGAAAAAACAAAACGCCAACTTGTTACATGTGCAGTTAAACAGCTACATAAATATGAGCCAACACTGTAATAGAGTGAAGTGCAGAAACACAGCACATGTGTAGCGATTGTACACATTTAACACGATTAATATGTTGATATTAACAGATTAACCCATGTCTCGTAAATAGTAATCGTACGTTCTCAGTTAATGAACTCAGAGATGCTGATTACACCACGCGTTTTTTTTTTGTTTGTTTTTTTTTAGTTTTTATTAAGATAGCTGTTATCTACGTAAGGATGCATAGTAGAGATGTAAAGCAGAAATGTGCTTAGCATTGCAGGCAGTAAATTTACCACCCCCCCCCATCACAGCACAGCACACTCAGGCATGCACACAAAGATGATCTTGATACACATTTAAATAGAGTCTAAGGTAATTTGCTGTGGATATGCTAGCAGTAATACAAGTCCTTAGACAGAGTGTCCCTCTCCTGACCTGAGTGTGATATACTGTAACTGTTAATATCAAAATGCGCCGTTATCAGTTACACTGTGTAAGTATGTGGCATGTGCACTAGCATAATTTGTTCTAGTGTGGGTGGTTTTTTATTGCTGGACTCCATTTCTCTTCTCTTTTTTGTCAGTTTTTTTTGTGTGTGTGTGTTTGCATTGAGCAGCCGTGTCAGCGTGACCTTTAAAGTTAGCTGACCTTTTAGACAAATGAAAGTCCAGCCATCAGAAACTAATTAGCTCTGCACTCCTGCTTTAGTCTCCTAGTTCTGGTTAGAATTTATTGGCTCATTCTCTCTATTGCACCCTGTGTTTTTTTTTTGTTTTTTTTTTTCAACCTCTCTGTCATTCTCACGTTAATATTATTCATTTTTCCTGGTCTTCATTTTTCTTCATCTCTTCTTACCTCCCATTTCTGTTTTCTCCTCCTGCTTTTTGTCTCTCGATCATCCCACCTCCATTTGTCCTCATCAGCCATTTCCACCTTTCTCCTGCCCTCCTCTCTCCGTCATTTGTGCTCGCTCTCTTCTCCTGCTTCTCTCTTCTCTGTATGGAGTCATTGCCAAAGTGGCAACTAAGTTGCCTTGCTTGGGGCAACAGAGCAAGGCTTCCAGTCAGACAGCTTTCAAGTTCACAGTGCACTGGTGTCTCTTTTTGGAATTAGTTGACTGTTTCTCCCCTTTGTTCAAAGCCTTATTCCAGCTGTTTGGTCAGTGTGAAATAAGGTGTTGTGCTTGATTGTGTAGCAGAGTGGTGCTGCATCGTGTACTGTGCTGGCATTGCCTTCGAGGACAAACATTTTATTCCTTTCAGAGAGGCTCCACAAAGTGCCCTAATGACTTACCCTTACCTTGGTTGTGAGAGAAACTAGTGGCACTGTCACAAATACACACACAAGCAGAGTCGGCCAGTTCCATCCTCTTGTGCCCTTCCTCCCAGCACGACTAAATGGAGGAGGTGGGCCACTGTGGCTGCTAAACAGCAACACCGGGGGTCTCCTTATTCCCCACAGGGCCTCTTAGAGGTCAGCACAACTAGAAAGTTTATACATGACCCGTTAAGTCAACTGAAATGAGAAAGCTGTTAAAGAGAATGCAGGGGAGAAAGTGAAGAACACTACCACCTACACTCCTCGTTCATAAATAGATTCACATCCTAGACTGGCAATGCGATTGAGTTAGTTTAGCCCTAATCGAAACCACAGCGATCGGATTCATGTGGATTCTATGATATGCAAGCTATTATTATAGCGAAATGTGGCTGCATGGTGCGGAGCCCTGCGAGAAGAGAGGGGTTTTTATCAGCAGGATTTACTGAGATAGAGAAAGAAAAGGATCAATAACTGGCCCTGTGGTCATCAGTTAACAAAGTAGTCTCCACTTTAAAGAAGTGTTTGGCTGTCTGGTTAAGGGCAGCCAGATGATGCTAGTGCTTGAAAAAGGAAACATGTGATATGAAAGGGTGTGAGAATGAGAGAGGAGGATGATTCCTTTGTTAGTTGCATGCCTTGTTTAGGCTATTAAAACGGAGAGGTGTTGTTTGTGTGCCCAGGAGGCTTTTCGCTAACATAGCCAGCTATAATAAGATGGACTGACTGCCTGTGTAACACAGTCTGTGTGTGTGTGTGTGTGTGTGTGTGATTGTACTGTCAGCTGGCACTTCACTGAAGGCAACATATAACCCGACTCACTCTGTGCGGTAGTAGTGAATGTAGTGCTGAGCAGTAAACCAAATATACCAGATTACTGCCATTTTGAGTCACTTACCGACCTATATTTACTCCTCCGTTCCCTTTCTCGTGGACCCCATTACACCTACATGTGCATCAGAAACGTCTGCTTTGTCTCATTACTGTCAGGTCCAAGTAGTTCTTGATCCCCTGAAATTTCTGCTTAATTTACTCATGTTGCATATTTGTCTTAAAAGTGACAATAATAGCAGCAACCTCTGATAACCAGAAGTTCTTTTTGTTTGTTTGTTTGTTTTGATTAGGCCATTTGGTCCAAATATAGTGAAGAAGCCCCGTTTCACCCATTTTCACCCAATGAAAAGCATCAGTTGCCAAAGAAATAATGTAACTGATTATCAAAATAGTTGCAGGTTAATTTTCTGTTAAACTAATCAAGTTGTTGTTTAACCAGTTCAGTCAAATAAACATTCTGATCATTTAATTTAATACAGATTTTAGATCATATTGTTCAGCCTCAGTGGTATGTTTTTATTATATATAATGTGCTATATAGGTATTGTTATTTATATACAGAGCTACTGCAGTGCAGCGTAAACTCTTCACTTTGCATATTCACTTTGTGCAGGTGATTGTTTCAGTCCAACTGGGAATGACACCGTTTAATGGCAAAATGTTACGCAGCAGAGTTGAAGGTAAAAAAGAAATGTCAGATATGTCGTCTCCATTATACCATTCTTACCAGCACTATACCAGTACATGAGTCATTTGTCAGGGGTTGTGTATGTGCGCAAGTGTGTAATCATGTTTGTTGTCAATCTGGGCCTCATAGGTCTTTCTTAAGACCCTGTGTTAATTCCTGGTTACCTTTATATACTTAATGTTGTACAGAACACATCAACCAGTTGGCTTAAAAGTTGGTCTAATGCTTGATAGTCCCAATTCATTCTCATAATTTGAATCTTGTGTGTTGTACCTGAGGCAGTGACTGAACCATCTTTATATTTGTGCAGCCACTCTCACAGAGTTATGTAGATCTGGGTTGGTGTGTAGCCTATAGCCGGCAGCTGGTGTTTCAGCCCCTGTGCTGCGCTGTCCCCATTACCTCAAACCGCCACCAGATTGGGAGATCATATATTTTAATGAGACGTATAATAGCTCTTTAACCCATATCATTAGGGGAATATATACCTACCGTTCGCTCTTTTGGCAGTTAAACGAAAGAACTGTTTCCCTAATTACACGGTGTGTAGAACAGGTCACAGGTTGGGTGTGTACCTGTCTGTGCGCGTCTGTGTTCAGGAATTATATGACCATTAAATATTCAGCCACAGGCCCCCTTCAGCTCACTCTCCCCGCCCAGTCCCTCGACCTAGCATCCATTAATACCTCAGCGCAGTTTAACTAGCTCTGTTGTCAATCACCACAGCCCGAAACAGAAAATGTCTGGATTTGGTTTCAAGCCGAACTAGTTCAACATACAGAAAAATAAGAGCAAATGAGAACACACATGCCTCCATCGGGGACAATCACTATAACTGGAATAACATTAAAGGTGCCAGCGCCATCATTTGTTTGATTAATTGATTGATTTTTTTTTTTTTGTTATGTGTGGCTATAACCAATTTTTCAGTCAGCTAAAATTTCCGCTTTGCATACAAGTGTCTGCATGCAATACCGGAGTGGGTGAATGATGTGGTCCCTTTTTCTAATTGAAAATAACAAATCCATGGATAACACCGTCTTGTATGATCCAAAAACATATCCCTTTCAGTTCCCCCCTATCTCGGCTATAATAAAAGACAGGAAATGAGAGGCAAGTGAGAGTGGTGGCTTGGACATTGACGCTTAATGTAATCTGCCTTGAAATCAAATTATTTGACCTGGAAAGCCTAACAATACAAAACTCCTGCCAGGCTGCTGTTAAATATTTAGCACGTGCCTGTCATGAATACAAATGGTGCACAAATTAGAATCTACAGGCGCGTGACCCTCATATCACACCCTGGGAGCACAGGGGGGACCAGCTCTGCTTTAAATGTTTTAATTACTGGGGCCATAGTGTGGCGTGCCATGCTACCTTGTCGAGCGGCATCGCCACTGCTTGGACTGCGTCTTGAAGGACAAGCGGTGAAATTCATCCACTGGTAAACATGAGTGATCTGGTGTCTGTGATCTCATCACATTAACTAAAATATGAAGATTCAATAAGGAGAGTGTCTGAATTGTACCATGCTATAATTATAGTTCCCAGCATCCTGGCTCATGGTAGATCAGTGTGCTTTTTTATTTATTTATTTATTTTTTTACTCTGTTCTTTCCGCTGGTTATATGATCTACCTTGGGCCTCGGGGGAGGCACTGTATTGCTCCTGTGCACTCTGCACTGAAGGAAGATCTGTCTCAGTGATTTTGATGTAAGAAAATCTGGTTTGTATTGAT